CATAGTCCTATCATGCTAACTAAGAATAGCTCTCTTATTTGCGAGACCATTTTGTCAACATCTAAGGCGTGAAAACTTGGTAAAAGTATCTTTTGCTTATTTTATTCATGTAAGAGACATTGTATATGCATTGAAGTCCAATATTTCCAGGCTATTCCAAAAAGCAGTTTTGATGTCAATGGCTTTGGGATTTGCAAATGCAAGCCATATGGAAGATTTGACCATGGATTTGGCTTACCGAACTAAGGTATGGTAAGATCTAAAGGAAATGTTTTTAATTGACAGCGACTCCAATCAGTATTATACTTGAGCACTCTTAATACTCCTTCATTAGATGACAGGATCATGCACAATTGGCTCTATGATACTATCCTGATAGCCAAATTATCGGGGTGGGAGCCTTAAACACTAGTTATAGATTGTTACAACAGGTAGTCCCAAAGATAGTGGGGTACTTCAACAAATTATGCTTTGCTTTCTGATACAAATTATTTTTTTTTAAATATTTTTGATATATACCAGTAATACTGCACAATTGTTGGATTTAGATGTTCTATTATTATAGCGATAGCAATGTAAAAAAAATTTCGGGTGTTCACCCCACAAACAGTTTACCCCAAAGAAGCATTAAAAACCGAAACAGTGGTATTTAAAGAGGTCTACATCTATCGGATAGGGTTGATGTAGAACCTGATAGATTAGATAGTTGCGGATTCGATTTTTTCAATGTTGTTCTAGCCAGATGGTCGTACTGATCATAGCTCAGTTCATAGTGATGCATAGCTCAGTGTAATTGGTCCTTCTTCGTCGAGTCAAACTATTCAATAATAATGAAGGCACTCGCTTACGTTTTAGATAATAGAATATTCTAACAATTTCCAGCAGCACTCAGATAATGCCTGTATAACAGATGTTGGAGTTCCGCCTTTAAAATGTTCAAATTTATCAGAGTCGGAAAGTCTTGATAAAGCGCACTTTCTTGGCGAGAATGTCCCACCACTCGTGACAACCTAACAGTGACGGCAACTCAAATTGTGGGAGTTGTTAAAAAAAAGTTTTTTAGTGCGTGCCATCAAGAGCAACAAAGCATAACAGTACTACATTTATTGAAGGAGTGGTTAAGTGTCTTCGGGAGTTGGACAGC